AGAACCCCAGTTCCACCTGTCTCTGTGGACCAGACTGTTCTGGGGACCACTGTGTGTGGAGTCATACTATACTTTTTGTGACTGGCTCATCTGTTATACCATGACTCTCTCAGGTTCCCCTACCATAGAGAAGATGTCAGAATCATATGAATGTCTTGGAAGACTCATTTAAAACATGTCTTTGGAAGTGTTACCAGAAAAGCATTGCATTTATGACTTGGTTTTAGAGGTGCCCTGACTGATGTCTGAGGTACCCAGCCATCTGGGTTTACCCGAAACTGTGGGATTTCTTCCTCTGAAAATTTGGTACATGTCTGTTCAAGCCTTGTTGATAGCTTCCTGGAAGGTTCTGTGCCGTGCCAAGTGTGGTCCTGCACACACGTTGGGCTAGAGGACTCTTGAGAAAGCTGCTGATGGATAGGCATTGACCCTGTTAGGGCAGGAGCTGCTCAGAGCTATGTTAGGCACATGCGCACACATAAATAAGTGTAATTTTAAAGTCTTGCTGTCCAGCACTGTCTCTGAAGAGGGAAATGCGGATGGACAGTAGCACATCCTGAGAGAATCGGTGGGAAATGGGGCCATTCTTCACTCCTTTCCTCCAAATGGTCTGCAAGCTTGGGATTATGTCAAGTCAAAAGTTACAGATCATACGGAAAAGTCATCTCCACCAAGCACATCTTGGATGGTTTGACAGGTCCCCCAGGACTGAGGCAGTCGTGTCGTCTCAACTATTCGGGAAGATGAGGCAGGAGGATAGAAAGTCTAAAGCCAGCTTAAACTACAGAGTGAATTTAAAGCCAGGCTGGGCAACTTCTCAAGACCCTCTCTCAAATTAAAAAAAGTAAAAAGAAGACTGTCCTGGTTAGTTTTCTGCCAACCTGACACAAATCTAGGGTCATGTGGGAAGACAGAAACCTCAGCTGAGGAAACTTCTACAGGATTGACCTGTAGGGAAGTCATGGAGCATTTTCTTGATTAATGATTGATGTGGGAGGGTCCAGTCCACTGTGGGCAGTGCTATCCCCTGGGCAGTAGTATCCTGCATTGTATAAGAAAGCAGGATATGCAAGCCATAGGGAGCAGTCAGTAAAGCAGTGTTCCTCCTTGGTCTCTGCCTGGAGTTCCTGCTCTGGCTTCCTTCTTAATGGTCTACAAATGTAAGCTGAAACAGTCTTTTCTCTCCCAATCACTTTGAGCCATGGTGTTTATCACAGCAATAGCAGGCAAACTAAGAAAGGATGAGTTGCAGTTCAGTGAGAGAACACGCTCCCTGCATGCATGACGGCCTGGTTCCCAGTCCAGTGACAGAACATATTCCCTGCATGCATGACGTCCTGATTCCATCTCCCCTTTGGCAAAGGGAAGAGAAGGAGGAAGTGGAGGGAAAGGAGGAGGGGGATGTCTCCCATAACATTCCATTTCTAGTGTCTGCTTCCCACTGTGGCTTCAGTTTCTGAGGAAAGGGTTCTCTGGGTTCCTTGCTGGAAATGTGATTGCTTTGGTTTTGATGCCAGGGTTCTTCCATCTTTGTAAACGCCTTGGGAATCAGTTCTCTTTGATTATTATGAAGAATTTAATTGTCAAAATTCCTGAGCCTGATATCCAATTTGGATTATTTTTTAAATGAATTTTCCATTTTTTTGTTTATTGGCTTATTTGCATTTGCAAAAAGGTGACCTTTATTGCATATATTCCCTACAAATATGTGTGCATTTCAAAAATGCCTAGAAGCCATTGGAAGAGAGTTGGATGTATGTTCTCATGATTTGGAAAGTCTTCAGGCTGATGTTACTTCTGTTTTATGTCCTGGGATCTTCTCTTCTGGGTTACACTAAGGAGAAGTGTTGGACTAGTTCACTGCTAGCTGCTCTTTCTTCCTTCCTTCCTTCCTTCCTTCCTTCCTTCCTTCCTTCCTTCCTTCCTTCCTTCCTTCCTTTCTTTCTTTCTAAGAGTTTTTTTTCCTTAAGATTTATTTATTTATTGTGTATACAATGTTCTGCCTGCAGGCCAGAAGAGAGCACCAGATCTCGTTATTGATGGTTATGAGCCACCATGTGGTTGCTGGGAATTGAACTCAGGACCTTTGGAAGAACCGCTGGAGAGATGACTCTTAACCTCTGAGTCGTCTCTCCAGTCTTGGCTGCTCTTTCATCAGGAAATCTCCCAACACCTCTGTCGTGACTCCTTACCCTAGTTGACTTTTCCTGCTTTGCCTATATTCATTTCCTGTTACTTTTGGCTTAGTTTCCATTTTGATACTATTTTCCCCACATATGACAAAGCCTCAAACTCAACAGAGATCCGCCTGGCTCTGCCTCCCGAGTGCTGGGACTAAAGGCGTGCGCCACCACCGCCCGGCCATAGCAGACTCTTAACCACTGATTTTAGTGTGTTGGGGTGTGAGAAGGTAACCTGATTGACTCTGGCACATCTGGTCATGCAGGCTTAGTTTCCCAGGACATGAGTCCTCTGCCACTCTTACTGGGCAAGTCCTAAGCAAACCAGGCTTGGTTATTCCATCCTGCTTTTGGAGATTTTCTGAAAATCTCCCAAAGCCACCTAAAACGTGAACAGTTGTAGGGCTTGCTATAAGGGAATTTGAAAAGGTGTTTCCTGAAGGGAGGGTACAGAGTTTAAATTTGAATCTACTTATTTAACTTAATTAACAGTAGCTCTCAGTTCCTCTAATTTTTTGTGCTAATTTGATTAGTCAAAGCCTGACAGAAGCATTGTAATATGTTTGTCACCTCCAATCTTGAGTTCAGCCATTTTATCCACTGTTTTTCCAGACATTTAGCTTTATATAGATTTCAGTGCAATGGTTGTTCATTTAGGAGATTTTTATAGAACCAATAAGCGTCTTGCAAGCTTGATAAAGCTCAATGTGCGGAGACGGATCAGGGATATTAAGACTGACTTGGGGAGGCCCTGCTGATAGGAAAAGGCAGCAGAGGAACACCACGTCCACGTCCCACTCCCATGCTCCCCAACTGGGGGAAGGTGAGTAGATTACCCCAGAGCACAACGTACTAAGTCTCAACCAAGATGAAATGGCCTGTCTACACATCATACAACCATTTGGAGGTTGAATGCATCACCTGTGGGGTCCCCACAAAGAAATCTCTAATCCCAGATGCATTCACTGGGACATTCTGGGAACACTGAACTCCACTTGCCCTGAAATTCTTCCAGAAAATGCAATTGGAAGAAACAATCTCTGACAGATTTTGTGAAGCTAGCATGTCCCATGACCAAAGCCAAAAGTGATTCCAAACAGCCACAGGTGGGTATCTCTTGACACTTTGATGCACCATAACCCATGTAAAAGCCAACACATAGATAGGAGAATCCTCAGCAGCTCCCGGGCTACCTGCCTGGTGGATGCAATGGAAAAGCATCACAAAAACCCTACCACAAACAAGGTGGAGAGCAAGGACTGATACCAACTGACATCTGATAACTAAGATTGTTTTCTGACCTCCACACACCTGCCACAGTACGGACACATCTGCATTATACACAGGAATGTGCATGTGCTTGTCACACACACACACACACACACACACACACACACACACACACATACACACACGGGGCGGCGGGGGGAGACTTACTGGTTATTGTGCATCTGGACAGGAGAAAGTGACAAGGATGTACAGTGTCTTAGTTAGGGTTACTGTTGCTGTGATGACACACCATGACCAAAAGCAACTTGGGGAGGAAAGGGTTTATTTGGCTTACACTTCCATATTGCTGTTCATTATTGAAGAAAGTCAGGACAGGGACTCAAACAGGGCAGGAACCTGGAGGCAGGAGCTGATGCAGGGGCAGTGGAGGGGTGCTGCTTACTGTCTTGCTCCTCGTGGCTTGCTCAGCCTGCTTTCTCATAGAGCCCAGGATCACCCGTCCAGGGATGGCATCCTCCACAGTGGCTGGGCTCTCCTCCGTCAATCACGAATTAAGAAGATGCCCTACAGGCTTGTCTACAGTCTGATCTTATGGAGGCATTTCCTCAGTTGAGGCTCTCTCCTCTTCAATGACTATAGCTTGTGTCAAGTTGACATAAAATTAGCCAGCACAGTCAGCACAGTGGACAGAGTATTAAGAGTAAGCCTGGATGAAGGCTCTGCTAGGGACCAGATGGCAGCCATGGCACAGTGACTGAACACTAAGTCAAACTTGGGAATTTGTACTTCAGATTTTTCAGTTGTTTTTATTTATTGTTGTTGTTGTTTTTATGGGGAAGGGGAGAGTGTATTGCGCCACTGTGCACAAACGGAAGTCAGAGGACAACTTCCAGGAGTCAGTTTTCTCCTTCCACTGTGGAGTCCAGGGATCCAGTTCAGAGCCTCAGACTTGCATAACAAGCATGTTCACCTCTGCACAATCTTACTCGCTCTGGAACCCACACTTTAAATCCGTGCACTGTGTTACACATCAGCCACATCTCAAACAAGCTATTAAAAAGTGCTGCCAGGCAGAGTAGGGTGACACACACCTTCAACCCCAGTACCCAGGAGACAGAGGCGGACGGATCTTTGTGCCAGTGGCTGGACAAGTGAACCTGAAGCTATGATAGAATGCAAAATAGAATCCACAGCTGTAGAAATGGCTACAGGAAATGAAAAGCAGAGAAGCCAGTGGCCATCCCAGGCAGCTGATGCTCCTGGAGGAACAGAGCAATGACCTAAGACATAACCCGGAAAACTTTCCTCCATTTAAAGGGAAATTGTTCATCTTGTGAAATTAGATGATCTGAGAAGAAAACAATACTACGAAATATGCTACCACGTGTATGAAAATGTACATCATAATGAGCTTATTTTTTAAAATAATTGGTAAAGGAAGGCTGGGGGCGTGTGGCACAGGCTTTTAATCCCAGCACTCGGGAGGCAGAGGCAGGCAGATCTCTGTGAGTTCCAGGCCAACCTGGTCTACAAAGTGACCTCTGAGACAGCAGAGCTGTTACACAGAGAAACCCTGTCTTGAAAAACCAAAACAAAAAATCAGAAATGTATTTAAAATATTGAGAATAAAGAAATAATTGTACTAACTTCTAGGCAGGAAGAAAAGGTTCAAGCATCATGTTAGATTAATAAGTTTGTTTAAATGTCACATTTAAAGCATTGCATTAAATATGCCAATTTATTCAAACAATAAATTCTGGAAGTAACAGACATATTTTCAGTGTTTTGGGGAGATAAATCATTTTGATTGAAGTCTCATATCAGGCTGAACTTCTCCTGTGGCAGGAGGACAGTCTTGGGTATGCAGAAGTGAGCCCCCCCCCACACACACACACGTACTTTGAGCCTTCCCATGGCTCCCCTGGAGACTTGTATTTGAAGCTTGTGTCCTGCTCCCCTGAGAGGCATGAAGATAGAAGCCACCATGAACAAGTTTGAAGACAGGAAGATGTGGAGACTGGGTTTGTGATGAGCCATCTAGGGGAGGGTACATCATCTCTCCTGTTTCCTCCTGGGTGGTGAAGGAGAGATTTAAAAGGATTGTCTGTGCTTTAAAACAAAAACATTCTAGGTACATGGACTCTGTTTCTGAAACCTCCAGTGATCCTCCAGTGAGGAGGAGCTGCTGTGTGCCCATTAAATCCGCAGAGCCATGCCCAGCCCCATCCCTGGTCATGCTGCCCTGCCCCCACTCCAGCCCAGCAGGGAAGCCTTGGACAGGCCTCCAGAGTCTGTTTGGACAGTTCATCCTTCCTGAAGTTCTGGAACTTTCTCTGAAGTGCCCTGCGTGCCCACATTCAAGATCCCTCACCTCTGTAATCTGTCTTCACCCGCACAGTACTCAGAAGGTGCTGGACCAACACCAGCGTGACTCTGCAGAGTCTGTACCCTGGAAATGCCTACTTGGAAACACCAAGAATTTCCTTCACTGTCAGCCTGGTGTCATCTCTGTCCCCTGCTGCCTCACGGTTGGTGCTTTTCCCTACAAGAAAGTACAGGTGACACTTAGGGAAATGTTTAAGAGAAGAAGAAATACTCTATGATTTTTAAAAACACATCTCTGACACAGCCCTTCTAGAGAAGCCCCAACTTTCTTGGCCCATGACCAAGATTTTGATCTTTACCATTCAGCAAGCCCTTTTGGGGGGGGCCTGAGTGAGTGCACAGATGCCCTCAGCTCGGGGAGGTCGTGTCCTTGTGAGGTCTGTTCTTGGAGAGAAAGGTGACGGGGTTCCAAGGGCTGCTGTTCTCAGGATATGCTCTTCATAGCTGGAGTCACAGAGCCAAGGACAGTGGTAATGCATGTGGCTTCTGCTGGCTGGTGCCACTTGCTGGTGCTTCCCATCATCAGAGCCACGTGGATGCAGGCTGGGAGAGATGGCAGTGGGTGGAGCAGACTCTTAAAGGGGACTTCAGTGAGGTCATCGGGAAAGCAGGAAGTGCTGTGAACAGCAGACAGCCAATCAAAAGCAGCCTGGTCTGCTGTGATGGAGTAAGGGCAGGTGGGAGAGAGAGGGGGGACACCCAGGAGGCTTCTGCAGATAGACACCTAAGGGTGTTCATAAAGTGAAACGTGTGAAAGCTGCTGCATTTCAAATGTCCCCGTCAAAATGTCCCCATCAAAATGTCCCCTTGCTATTCTTGAGCTCCTCTGAAAACATTGAAAGCCAGCTCTGGCGTTTCCCTCAAGCTAGATGTGTCGGGAAGGACAGAGGGTGACCTCCTGGCTTCAAGCCAGTCCTAGCCACGGACTTCCCTGAACCCATGTTCACCTTCCTAATCAAGAGTCTCAGGACAGCTGGGCAGTGGTGGCGCGCACCTTTAATCCTAGCACTCGGGAGGCAGAGGCAGGCTGATTTCTGTGAGTTCACGGCCAGCCTGGTCTACAGAGCCAGTTCCAGGACAGCCAGGACTGTTACACAGAGAAACTCTGTCTTGAAAAACCAACAACCCACCCAACCCCACCCCACCCCTAAAAAAACAAACGAACAAATAAAAACCAAAAAGCAAAAAAAACCAAACCTCTGGTCATCGAGGGGACCAAGTACGGCCCAGCTCTGGTGTCTCTCCCTTCTCCCCTCTTTCCCAGAAGTGTCCCCTGTTGAGAGCAGCCCATCTTAGAAGATACTGACTTGGATTCTGAGGTCACATCCTACCTTCCCCAAGAACCACACTCTTCACCAAGTGACAAAGCGCCGCATGCCTGCCAGGAGTGGGAATGGGCATCAGAAGCTGGCAGCTTAGTGACCCCTTTTGTAGCTGAGGGCCGCTGTCCTCTGTGCTCCGGCCTTGAGCTCTGGCTTTGAGCTCTCTCTGCATCTTGAGAAGCAAGGTCTCTGAGGTTTCCACACCAGAGGCCACTCTTTGAAGAGGAAGACAGTTCCTGGACTCTGAGGGATCTGGGGCAGCCATAGAGTCCCTATAGAAGACCAGAGGCGTGGTGAGAGATAACATCAAAGTCGACCATGACCCCAGGTGAGCTGCATCGAGCTAGGCCGAGGAAAGACTCCCGGGGGACCTGGAGACGTGGCCTGGGGACAATGAGATGAGCTTCACCATGAGCTGACTGAGCTTTTGTCCTGCATTTCCCCGCCCACCCATCCTAGATCACGGGACTACAGAAAGCCGTGTGGTATGAGAGACACGGGTCACCCAGGGCTAGTCTACCGAAAGGCGCGCAACCATCAGCCTTGAGTCCGACCCAGGTGTCACTGGCCCAGTGGGGGAAGAGAACACAGAACTGCCCCTATGTGAGCCTCAGAGCCCTGGCCACATTCTGGCTCTACCCTGGTCTCACATCCTGTAGTCTGCATAGCTCAGGTCTGTCTACCCTACTTCTGCTGTGTACAAGACACCACCCCTCATTTTCTGGCTCCTCCGCCCTCAAGCAAGAGACAGTCAGTAGAGCATCACATACTGCGACCCAGGATGGCTCCAGGGCATTGCTACCTAGTGCAGCTGCCCAGGACAGCCTGTGTTCGTCTCTGAACCTCAGTCCTCTCATGTGCCAGTGAGAACAGTTAACAGGTTCCTGTTCCTTTCCCAGTGCAGGCAGCCATCTTGCCGGCTGCTGCTTCCTCTCCCCAGAAGCAAAGCTGCCAAGCCGTGTGGACACTCATGGGGAAAACACTGTGTGTTCGGTCATCCCAGCTCTCTCAACTCCACAAATCTGCTGCTGTAAGCAAACCACAATGCTGTGACATTTCCTCTGGGACACCCTCTCCAGTGCCGCCTCAGACTGTCGCCACAAGTCCAGGCCAACCTTGACTAGGAACCAGCCTTGCCCCCAGAGGCTGTCCTGTGGCCTTTGCAGTCTTCTTCCGGAAGCACCCAAGGCTTCAAGTATAAGGAAAACCAGGACCACAACACTGGCTCTGCTTCCAGAAATATCTATCCTCTTTTCACCCCCATGGATGGAAAGGCCTTTTCTGTCTAGTGCCAAAGGAGGTTGTCACAGAGCCAGGGCTGGCATAGACCCCCATGGCACCAAGGCATAGTCCCCACAGGTGAGCAAGGAGCCTGTGAGCTGGCTCTGTAGCTCGTCATCCACCGAAGGGTTGAGACTTCTGGGCTGCAGCTGTGGCCAGACACATGACAGCAGAGGTGCTGTCCCCAGCCAGGCCATGCTGCGGGCCCCAGCCAGGCCATGCTGCAGGGCCCAGCCAGGACATGCTGCGGGCCCCAGCCAGGACATGCTGAGAGCCAGACTTTTCTAGCTCTGAGGCCTCCGGTTCCCAGAGGTCGGCACAGCTGTGCCAGAACAGAAGTGTTCAGTGTGTGGGTGTCGGAACATTCCACCGCAGTGCCGGGTGCCACCCACCCCGGGGACCGGGAAGTGAAATTGCTCAGTCTGCGCTGGGTGTGGCTGGCCAGGGTATTTGAGTTCACTCGGAAGATTATCAAGGTAAGGAGGCCAATCTATTTTCTTTTTCTTTTGATTTTTTTTTTTTTTGAGACAATGTCTTACTATATAGCCCAGGCTGGCCTCAAACTCATGACCCTCCTGCCTGGAATTACAGATATACATCACTACGCCCTAGATATCTTACTCTGGAGTAGAGAACAAATGGTAGTACTAGCTCATGGGCCTCTTTACCCAGAGGGCTCTGCGGCAGCCTGAGTTTCATGATACCCTCCGCATCTTGAGTTTGGTCTTTTTTGATACTCCATCTGAGGGGGGCACTGGGTGTCAGCTGAAGAGGGAGAAACGGCCTCTTAAACATGCCGGAAGCTGGTTGATTTGAGACCCTCCCCCCACTTACCCACTACAATGACACACACAGCATAGTTGTCTGCCCTTGAGGTGAAGGAAGTTTTATTTAAGTGTTTGTGTGTGTGTGTGTGTGTGTGTGTGTGTGTGTGTGTGTGTGTGTGCATGTGCTCTAGTGTGTATGTGGCACTCAGAGTACAGTTTGCAGAAATTGACTCTCTCCTTCCACTTTGTGGGTCCTAGGGATCCAATTTGGGTTGTCAAACTTGTTGGCAAGTACCTGTACCCACTGCACCACCTTGTTGTCTCAGTGGAAGCAATTTTCTGCACAATGGCCAATGAGATGGGCATCGGCACATCACAGAGGGCGCTGCTCTCCCACACTGGCTTCTGCACCATGGCGACTGGCCTGGGAGTGTGATAATATCCCTGTCCTCAGGACCCAGTGAACGCTTGCGCAGCACTGACTGGAGAAGTGGCTGCAATAGTGTCAACCCGACTCAGGTTAGAAGCCGGAAGCAGACACAAGACCAGTCATAGCATCCATCAGAGCTTTTTAGAAATGGAAGTGCGGTCCTGATTTAGAAACTTTTGGATGCTGAGACAGCTATGCAGAGCTCACTGGGGCTCCAACCCCACACAGCCCTCCCCTAGGGTACACAGCACTCGGCCCCTATCTCTGGCCAGCCTCCACTCCCTGCCCATGGCTGAGGGGATGAAAATGAAATCCTCTTGTATTGGTTACTTTGGTGTTACTGTGATAAAACACCATGGCCAACAGTGACTTATGGAAAAAGGACTTTGTTTTGGCTTATGGTTCCAGAGGGATAAAGAGTCCACCATGATAAGGATACATGGCAGCAGGCAGCAGGCCGGGGGGCAGGAGCAGGAAGCTGAGAGATCACATCTTTACCACAAGCAGGAAGCAGAGAGTGAACTGGAAGTGGAGCACAGCTTTGAACTCTCAACGCCTCCCCACAAGTAAAGTAATTCTTCTAGCAAGGTCCTATCTCCCAGACCTCCCCAACATCTCCACCCACTGAGGACCAAGTACCCAAATGCCTGGCTTATAAAGGACATTTGTCATGTACACTACCACAACCATGCACACCAGAGGCTGGGACCAGAGCTATCAGCCTACATCACACCCAGGGTGGCCACTGGGATTTTGGCAGGTGTGGCCTTATTTTTTGAATAGGTGACAGGTGTCATTTAGCCCTTGGCTGGAAGTCACTGACTCTGGACAAGAGCACTAGGGTTCAGGATCACCTGTCCAAGGTCACATGATTTTTGAAATAGCAAAACTGGTCAGTCCTATTCTGGGACCCTGCACATGGCATCTTTGAGTGGTCACTCAGGCCCTCCACTCGTGGGGAATGAGTAGTCAGAGAACCACATGACCTGGGGAGGCTCTAATGTCTGTTCCTTTTCTCAAAATAGGTTCCTTAGAGATGGTAGTTCTGTGACGTCTCTCTCTTCACGCACTGGGGTAGCAAACCTCCAACCTGCCTCCAGGAACTTGAGTGGTTCTGTTTACAGGTTTGGAATACATGAGTTTTGGATTCCATGGAAAACATTCAGGGAGGACTTACAGCCATATGAATGTGCTAAAATCATGTAAACCATCCAATCCTATATTCAGCATAAGAAAGACTGGGTCCCAACAGCAGCTGGACCCAGAATCCAGGTTTTCCTGAAACTGAGATCCTTTCTGGATAGGCTATGAGCTGGTCTTCAAGCAGAGGCCCACCCACCTGGAGCTCCTGGGAAACGTCTCCCAGGAGACGCTTACACTTCCTCCTAGAAAGCCCCTTGGGCTTTGTGCCTGACTGTGGGAGTGACTATAGCAATGTCCTGTGCCACGGACCTGAGCTCCTGATGCAGGTATATACTTGTTATATTGAGGATTTGAAAACTAGGAAAAGCTTTTGCGATCCACCAAGTCGAGGATGGGAAGGTGGAGGAGGCCAGCTCTGCCTCCTGTCCTGATGCTGTACTGATCCACCCCTGTAGACAGGAGCAGGAATGGCAGAGGAAGGGCACCAGAGGTAAGGAGAGGGTGGAGGAGGAACAGTGAACAGAGAGGTTGCATCCTGCCCAAGGAAGGCCAGGCTTTAGAATATACTCAGGATGTTGGCCAAACAAAACACCTCTCTGGCTGACTTCCAGGTCCTCATTTCAGAGACAGTGGAGTCGAGCCTGCCTGCAGGCATCATCAGGGGCTCTTTCCTACACAGATGGGCCTGCCTTATCAACGCCATCAGCAAATATTTGCAAAGCAGCACAGACACCTGCCCTGGTCTAAACAGACACACAGGTGCAGAGGTCTAACCTGTTCTGCTGTGGATTGCTATGAGGTCCTGAGAAAGCTGATGGACCTCTCTGGGTCTCAGTTTCTCCATCTGTCAAAAGGGTAATACATGGTGTGGGGATAAATACAGACTGGCCTCAAGGGGGCTCCTTCAGTGGCAATTTTTCCCTATTTTTAGATGCTTAGTTTTATTTTATTTTATTTTTTGTTGTTGTTGTTGTTATTGTTTTGTTTTGCAAGTTTCCTAGAGTCTCCCAGATGAAACAAGGTTGAGGCTAGAGGAAACAGTCCTCAGGATGCCCTGGAGCTGGCCAGGCCATGCTAATGATGCTACTACAATTCCTAAGTCCTGAGACTGCAGGTACGTGCTGGGTGACCGCTATGGATGGGAAACTTCTGTGCACGAACACATATGCCCTTGTCCCCGGGGCCGCGAGGCCAGACACACTGCTGGCAGGACTCCATCCCTGGCAGGGCTCTGTGTGGCCAGGGGGCCTGACAGCCATGCAGCAGGAAGCCTGGGTACTGAGAACCCAAGCCAGCACTGCCTACAGCTATGCCTCGTGTGTACAGGGTGCTGCCTAGACAGCCTGGTCCTGCGCTCAGTACTAGAGAAAGTGTTCTAACCCCAGGTGGTAAAGGCTAAGCTTCAGTGGGTCACTTTAAGTCCTTGTCATTTTGCCCCTTCCAGGCTGATTCTAGAGGAGTCTGTGAGGACAGATTCAGTGTCCCTATAAGGACACCGAGGTCTTCTAAGGGGTATAAGAGACTAACTGCTTTTATTCTCTCAAAATCCACATGCTAAAGCCGCTGGTCTAATGATATTAACAGTGAGACCTTTGGCAGAGCAGGACAGTGGAGACCTCATGAGTGGGATTGACGTCTATCAGATTGGCCT